AAACTGCGCTTGTAAAACTCCAGGGACTTGCAACTCAACTTCTTTCGCCTGCTCCACATAAATATGTAAAAATCCACTCTGCTTGCTTTGCAACTACAGTCTTGTTCGCTGGGTTTAGAGTGCCACCAGTCCGCTCTTCGCCAGTTGGTGAAGAGGGTAAGCGACAACAATTGGTGAAAAACGGCTGATACGAACGATATGATAGAGCCTCATCGCTTGCCGAACGAAAAAGAAAAGAATTGGGCTGGCGCTGCGCCAACCCATCCTTCCTGACACGCCCCATCATCTGCAGTGAACAAGACTATGTAACAATCAGTTGTCTGATCGCTCTTCTGCCCCTTGAGGGTGGCTTGATTCGGGGTGCTAGCTGCTTTCGACGGATTCTTGTGATTTCTTCACTAATGCTGACAAGGAGTACATTAGCACCTCGAAAATTTATATATGAGTCGAGTCGTCCACGACTCACAATCACGAAATGTGTAATCGACCGCAGAATCCCCGGTAAAAGCTCCCACAAGTTTAGTATATATGTTTAGGGCCTCGATTTAGAGCCTCGTATGTGTCAACCAGCTCTCGCAGTTCTTTATTTACCTTTCTTTTTGAGTTTCTATGCGATCTTTTTGATTTCAAGCACATGCCGCATTTAGCACAAAGTCTCCGTTTCCGCTGTTTTCAGACTGAAAGTAGCTGAATGCTCCGCTCATCCATTCCTTCGTACTGCCCAGGATACTCAACAGTACTCCATTTTGAACCAAGCTGGCAAAATATAAAAGCTGTGCGGTAGGTTTTCTTTTCATTCAGAGTGAAATGGCAAGTTAGAGCGGATTTGAATACTATTGCATTTGTCATTCAGACGATTTTTGAATTGAACGTTGGTAGCAAGTCTCATTCTGCTGCTGTCATGAAAGAAAAACGTCGTCAACATCAAGAACGCATTCGCCAAGAAAATGAAGAGAGAGCACGAAGGAAGGAGCTTCTTTCCGCAGAGGACAGAAGTCACGGAGAAACTGCACAGGATTCCAATATTGAAAATGCGGATGAAGCGGCCATCGTGAGTGATGACTTACTTGTACTGGGAATATAATTTTGAGGAGAAATAATCCAGAAAAGACAGAAAATAGGTCTCTCATGCGGTAAAATGAACACTCGGACATCCGATTCGGCTCCACGCTTTTTTGGTAGGTAATGCAATAGAATTTTATCTGAAGTTGCGCGCGTCGATCCCCGCCGGCCGCAATAAAAATTAAAGGCAAAAATCTGCAGAATACAACACACGTGCCCCAGCCCCCGCCGTGTCCCCCCGCTCCCCTCTGAAATTTCCTGAGGCGTAGGACGCTTCTTTCCTCATGTCCCGCATCTACCTACATCCTCATCCATTCTAACCAAATCCAGGCGTAACCTGTTACCACTTTTCCCCGGACTTTTTTTTCTGAAGTACTGCAATCCTGGCTCCGCCGCCCTCCACCGCAACACCCCCCCGCCCCCGCCCTCCCTAAGGAAAAACTACCGTCAGGCAAGAGGGGTGAAGCGGGAGACTACAGCGCCAGTAAAAAAGGCGCTATAGCACGGGAAAACTCAACAAGCGAAACGATTTTTCTCGAAAGCAAATCTAACTTCCTCCCGTTGCTGGGATTCCCGTAGATTGTGGTTGGCCGATCCGAATCGAAAATGCCACTAAACAGATTTTTTTCTCGCTATCTTATCTCCGTAGCCTCGTGATCATCTTGTGCACTAGCCTTGTCTGTGACCTCCAGAAAAGCGCTAAATTTTTTCACGTGACACTTCTTCACTGTAAGGTCAGGTAGGCTATATCATGTGCGCCTTCTCATCTCATTTTTTATTCACTCAAGATGGTAACGATGGAAAATAGACAAAGAAATCTTTGTGATGGGCTACAAGGCTCTTCGACGCAGTTCGACCTTGAACCTGCACCTATACCGTTGTGCCGGGCGGGCAGGTGCGCTATCCTTACACCACCGAGGGCCGCGTTCCTTATCTTCCTGCCTCTGCTTCGATGGCTTTTGTGACCCTTACTGCAAAACGCACGTTTCAAGCGTGATGAGAAGTGAAATCGAAGAGAAGGCGATATCTCTACTTGTGGAACAACGTTCCTTAGATAGTCCACCCTTTAAAAGTCTGATAGTGTGCTTATATTTGATAAGGGCTCCCAAAGCCTCAGTAACCGAATCTACAGTTGCACAAAATTTAACGAGCCTATAACGGTCTTTTGCCTACTTACGCCCACGGGGTAACCGTCGTATAGACATTGGCACTGATTGACAGTATTCCAGTCAGAAAGTGTTTACTGAAGTGATCGGGCGTGGAGGACATGGAGAAGCAAGCAAACCAAAGACTTCGAACAAGATTGACAAGGCCGAAGGAGCGAAGAAGAGAAAAGGTTGAGAAAAATTTACTGACGCAATGGAAAGTGATGTGTGAATCAGTAAGTAAACGGTTTCCGATTGGCAGGCTAGGAATTTTGTGGCTTACTCGGCAGCAGATTTTGAGTCTGAGAAGCAATTGGCTTTGGACAAGGTGGATTTCGCAAGACAAGCTGATGGTGCTACTGTGGAGATTTTTGCTGATGACGATAAAGGACTGTATAAGCAAAAGCACGCAAAGCGATGGTAAGGGAGCTATCGATGTTGACCACAGCGCTAGTATTTAATTTTTTTTCAAAAAAAAAACAAACAATGGGAGCTACATTACCTCAGAACTATTTTCACACTTCACTGTAAGCCTTTATAGGGCACAATCTGCGATAAGCACATGGGTGAGGACATGTGTGTCCCGTACCAAAGGGTAAAAAAAGAGGTGCCGTCACGAGAAAGGTGTCAGTGAGCCCGTCCCCGATGCCTCTGGGCCTCCCGGCATCTCCTACGATCGCGGAGTATTTTACAGGGTGTTCAAGGTCTTTGAATGACACGTTTTCAGGAGATCCGCCGGTAATAAGCAAACGTTTGAATTGGAACTTGGCGGTGATGGCAAGACACATCAAAAGGAATTACGTACTGAAGAACGGGAACAGGCTACGACCCAGCCTGTCATAAAAACTGGCCGGTACGAGGAACTGCGAGAGAAGAAACAGAAAATCGGTTATAAGAAGGCGAGAATTGTGGAATTGCTTGTTTCGTCTGGACTTGTATATGTTATCTCAACTGTGAGGATCCGTTCTTTCCAGGCGTGCAAGAGGACGGATATGGTGGAAGGCAAGAAGCCAGGAAATGCGGGTAGCCACAAATCTTCAAAATTCAATAAATGGAAGACTCACAACAATAGGAAGCAACAAGCTAAGGTAGTTGCTGTAATTTTGTTAGACGCAGTTCGGCTTGGGGGGGCAAGGAAGGTCTCTTTTGCCAGCTTTCGGTCTTCTTCTGCTTTTACTAGTTCCTGTTAAGCTACTGGTCACCCCTTGGCAAGACTTGTGGGTTCTCATCAAGTCGTAAGAGGCTCATGTTATTGCATAGCTTCACAGGAATTTGCGTCTCCGCAACAGGCGTCGGCAGTGATCGATGAGAACCTGGAAAATGCTCCCACGAAGTCGAACTGCGCCTGATTTTCTTTTCTGTTACCAGTCAGGAAAATGTGTTACCCGTTTTCACGCCTTTATTTCAGGGACCTAAATCTGAGCTCCGGAATGTGAGCCAGATAAAGAAGATCAGAAAGAAATCTGCGAAGCTACAGGAGTACATGGAACACCGAAGGCAAGAAAATCTCAAGAAGAAAGCGAATCGTGCTTCTGGAGCAAAGCATGTTGGCGGAAAGCGGAAGAAATAATTATGCTTATGTATTGACCCCAGCCTTAATCAGTTGTTATCACTTTATACAAATCGCTACTGACTAGTGAGTATGTGCTTTGTCGGTAACTCTTATACGGAAGTTAGTATGTTCCGCAAAACTTCTATGGATGGGCCTAGGGCGGTTTTCCTCGGGTTACCTTTCAAGCCTACCTCCGTTCAGCAAGCCGTCATGCAAACCACTTGGCGGGGTGGGGGAGGTAACTCTACTCAGTGTGACATGTTAACAGTTTTTATTGTTACTTTACTGTTATGTTTTATTGTTACAATGTATTTGTTGTTTTTGTTTTGTTTCTATGACTTCTGTCCATAAAAACTGTACAGATATTGTTAGACCGAAAGACAAGGACCATTGGTACTTGAATGGTACACGCCCATTAATTACTGCAGTCTCGCGATTGTTTAGGGGGTGTTGCAGCGCTAATTTAATAGGGGCTGCAAACAGTATTCCGCATGTGAGAAAGTCCAAAAGCTTTTTTCGTCCAAGTGAACTCATGTTGGTTTGGCAGGTTTTCATAGGGTAGTCGACAGGTGATTGACAACAAGGCTTACAGGATGTTGGCAAGTTCGTTCAATATCATGTTCGCAGTTTACAGGGTTTCGTAGCGCGTACAGGTCCCCCCCCCGCCAGGTCATCAGCCCCGAAAATTCTATTTTTGAAACATTTAAATTTTTACGTGATGTGTAACACTGAGTTAGTGGAATGATAATGGTGGCTGGAATGGTCGTAGCTCTGCTCGAGTGATAGGTCACAGTCCATCCAAAACAGCCAGGCTTTTTCCAATCAAAGTCAGATGTATCGTATCAGAAGTTAACGGGAACCTGAACAGTCTTTTGCAGTCGCTTCTGGGATATGTAATGCAAGCTGGACGCGTGGCGCATCTCACAGGTAGAGTGCCACACCCAAACCGGATGCAAATCGGCGACGGGGAGGGGGGGTGAAGCGGGGTGGGGGCAGATTTTGCACACTTTCACTGCTTCCCGTCGAACCATCGAGTGAAGATCTGTCGAAAGGTATGAAGCCGCCCAATGATACCAAACAGGATAAGTAGCACGTTGGAGAGTCCCCAGCGGAGGGGGAGGACGTGTTAGGTCTGAGAAAATTTATTGATTGTTGATTTCTCCCGTTTCACGGGCGCTATTCAGTCGTTGCTAGAATTCCATTGGGGAGGGTCGTAGTGCTCGTTGTTAGAAGGCTGGAGTCGGAGTAGAGGATCGGAGTAGAGGACGAAATCAGGGGACGGTCGTATTTCACGAAAACTTTCCCTAGCGCGCCCTGATACAAAGTTTCTAGAGACCACCTGTCAGTTCTTGTTCATTCATGAAGAAATTCATTTTATGAGCTTTATCATGAGCTCACAGGAGTTGACATTGACAGAAGTGAGACTCATAAACAGGAACCAGTGAAGTAGCGAATGTACAAAACTCCTCCCCCCCCCCCCCCTCCCCCTGTCGCCCTGTACATGACTGTGTTCAACCGCTCTGGGCTACATGGCGGCGTCATTTTGCGTCATAGCATATCGCGGGGAGGGGGGCATTTTGTACTTTCGCTACTTCCCACCGACGTACCGACCCATCTAGACAGCCTCATCTCGAGTTGAC